TTTTCGGCTCGGTGCAGTGTGGGCTGCGGTGGGGCTGGAAATTGCACTCCCACAGACACAAATACACCGAGCACGAGTTTAAAATTAGCCACCAGCCTGGCTCCCAGGGCTGTCAGATTTCCTGAGACAGCAAAAGTGTCCCAGCAGCTGTTCCTTCTTCATACTCAGCTCATGGCCATTTTTGAGCTGCCCAATCCAGGTCAGGGGAAAGGATGTGTGGGGAGGGGGGGCAGCAGATAGGCCTCGGGCATCAACACTAGAGAAGGGAAGTTCTAATTCCCTCTGATTCACCTCCCTTTCCAACAGCGTCCCCATGTTCTCTCTGTGCAAGCAGCAGCAGCAGCAGCAGCAGCAGCAGCAGCAAATATTCCCTTTGGTATCTTCACAATGGCTGCAGATGGATCTTGCCAAGGGGAGTAATAATAATAATAATAATAATAATAATAATAATAATTTATTATTTGTACCCCGCCCATCTGGCTGGGTTTCCCCAGCCACTCTGGGCGGCTTCCATAGAAACCAAAAACCCCACTAAAATATCATACATTAAAAACTTCCCTGAACAGGGCTGCCTTAAGATGTCTTCTGAATGTCAGGTAGTTGTTTATCGTTTTGACATCTGATGGGAGGGCATTCCACAGGGCAGGCGCCACTACCGAAAAGGCCCTCTGCCTGGTTCCCTGTAGCTTTGCTTCTCGCAATGAGGGAACCGCCAGAAGGCCCTCGGCGCTGGACCTCAGTGTCCGGGCAGAACGATGGGGGTGGAGACGCTCCTTCAGGTATACTGGGCCGAGGCCATTTAGGGCTTTAAAGGTCAACACCAGCACTTTGAATTGTGCTCGGAAACGTACTGGGAGCCAATGTAGGTCTTTCAAGACCGGTGTTATGTGGTCTCGGCGGCCGCCCCCAGTCACCAGTCTAGCTGCCGCATTCTGGATTAGCTGTAGTTTCCGAGTCACCTTCAAAGGTAGCCCCACGTAGAGCGCATTGCAGTAGTCCAAGCGGGAGATAACTAGAGCATGCACCACTCTGGCGAGACAGTCCACGGGCAGGTAGGGTCTCAGCCTGCGTACCAGGTGGAGTTGGTAGACAGCTGCCCTGGATACAGAATTGACCTGCGCCTCCATGGACAGCTGTGAGTCCAAAATGACTCCCAGGCTACGCACCTGGTCCTTCAGGGGCACAGTTACCCCATTCAGGACCAGGGAGTCCTCCACACCAGCCCGCCCCCTGTCCCCCAAAAACAGTACTTCTGTCTTGTCAGGATTCAACTTCAACCCATTAGCCGCCATCCATCCTCCAACCGCCTCCAGGCACTCACACAGGACCTTCACCGCCTTCACTGGCTCTGATTTGAAAGAGAGGTAGAGCTGGGTATCATCTGCATATTGATGGACACCCAGTCCAAACCCCCTGATGATCTCTCCCAGCAGCTTCATATACAGTGGTACCCCGCAAGACGAATGCCTCGCAAGACGGAAAACCCGCAAGACGAAAGGGTTTTCTGTTTTGGAGGCGCTTCGCAAGACGAATTTCCCTATGGGCTTGCATCGCAAGACAAAAGCCCATAGGGAAATGCTGGCGGTCGGGAGCAAAGACTTTTGCCCACAGCCGGCCTTCAGAAGAGGACCTCTTCTGAAGGCCGGCGGGGGGCAAAAGTCTTTGCTCCCCCCCGCCTGCCTTCCCCCCGCCTGCCCCGGGCGATCTTAAAATGCTGGCGGGCGGGAGCGAAGCGTTCGCTGCCGACCCCCAGCATTTTAAAATCTCCCCGTGTCCCGGGGAGGTTTTTAAAATGCTGGGGGTCGGGAGCGAAGCGCTGCCGACCCCCAGCATTTTAAAATCTCCCCGTGTCCCGGGGAGGTTTTAAAATGCTGGGGGTCGGGAGCGAAGCGCTGCCGACCCCCAGCATTTTAAAATCTCCCCGTGTCCCGGGAAGGTTTTAAAATGCTGGGGGTCGCCCGACCCCCAGCATTTTAAAATCTTCCCGGGACACGGGGAGATTTTAAAATGCTGGGGGTCGGCAGCGCTTCGCTCCCGACCCCCAGCATTTTAAAACGCTGTTCCGAAGGGGGGGGCGGGAACACCTGCCCCAGCCGCCCCACTTCGGAACGCTGTCTTTGTCCCCCCTGCCTGCCTTCCCAGGGGCTTTTTAAATCGCCCCGGACAGCGGAGAAGTCCTCCGCTGTCCGGGGCGATTTTAAAATGCCGCCCGCCAGCATTTTAAGATCGGCCCCTGCTTGGGGAGATGCCGGCAAGCCTTGCGCGCAAGGCTTGGGGCGGCAGCCTGCATCCCGAAGCAGGGGGTGAGCTGCGGAGCCCGCCCCCTGCTTGGGGGAGATGCCGGCAAGCCTTGCACGCAAGGCTTGGGGCGGCAGCCTGCATCCCGAAGCAGGGGGTGAGCTGCGGAGCCCGCCCCCTGCTTGGGGGAGATGTCAGCAAGACTTGCGCGCAAGGCTTGGGGCGGCAGCCTGCATCCTGAAGCAGGGGGTGAGCTGCGGAGCCCGCCCCCTGCTTGGGGGAGATACCGGCAAGCCTTGCGCGCAAGGCTTGGGGCGGCAGCCTGCATCCCGAAGCAGGGGGTGAGCTGCAGAGCCCGCCCCCTGCTTGGGGGAGATGCCGGCAAGCCTTGCGCGCAAGGCTTGGGGCGGCAGCCTGCATCCCGAAGCAGGGGGTGAGCTGCGGAGCCCGCCCCCTGCCTGGGGGAGATGTTGGCAAGCCTTGCGTGCAAGGCTTGGGGCAGCAGCCTGCATCCCGAAGCAGGGGGTGAGCTGCGGAGCCCGCCCCCTGCTTGGGGGAGATGCCGGCAAGCCTTGCACGCAAGGCTTGGGGCGGCAGCCTGCATCCCGAAGCAGGGGGTGAGCTGCGGAGCCCCGCCCCCTGCTTTCAGGCAGATGTCGGCAAGCCCTCGCATGCCCGGCGGGAGGTCCCGCTTAGGCCCGTTGTTCCGAAGCGGGGAGGGGGGCGGGAAGACCTGCCCCAGCCGCCCCACTTCGGAACGCTGTTCCGAAAGCGGGGAGGGGGCCGGGGAAGACCTGCCCCAGCCGCCCCACTTCGGAACGCTGTTCCCAAAGCGGGGAGGTGGGGGCGGGGACACCTGCCCCAGCCGCCCCACTTCGGAACGCTGTTCCGAAGCGGGGCGGGGGGGCGGGAACACCTTCTGAAGGCGGGCAGGGGGCGAAAGTATTTGTCCCCCCTGCCTGCCCTCCCAGGGGCTTTTAAATCGCCCCGGACAGCGGAGAAGTCCTCCGCTGTCCGGGGCGATTTTAAAATGCCGCCCGCCAGCATTTTAAGATCGCCCCGGACAGCGGAGAAGTCCTCCGCTGTCCCAGGGTTTTTAAAATGCTGGGGGTGGGAAAGAAAGCCCTTGTCCCCCCCCCCCAGCCTTCATAAGAGGTCCGGGGACAGACTGTCCCCGGACCTGGTCTGAAGGCGGTTTCCCCTAGAACGCATTAATTGATTTTCAATGCATTCCTATGGGAAAACCGTGCATCGCAAGACGAAAAAACCGCAAGACGAAGAGACTTGCGGAACGAATTAATTTCGTGCTTGCGAGGCACCAGCTGTATTATGCCTCTGTGTCTGCAACGTACATCAATATGCTATCCTTGGTTTAGTGGGGATGCACATCCACATCCAAACGTGCATTTCTGTTTTAGCTCTCAGCTAGTCTTGCACATCCAGCCCCTGCCCCCCCCCCCCCCGGCCGATTTTCTTCCCAGTGGGAAGTAAGTTGAAGAAAGTCAGACAGAAAATGAATTTGGCATAAATGTCCACACCAAGTAGAGATGCAACCTTCTCGATTACTTCATCTGCTTCTAATTTTTCCTTTCTATGTCTTACCATAAAGCAATATTCATGCCCCTTTTGCCAGCACACCAACTTTATCTTAATTTTTACTGATGTAGATTTTTACAAGCCTGGCTCTCTTGGACTTAATAATTGAGGTTCCTATAAATGACGTTGCTAAGAAATAGGCAGCAATCGTGGACAACTTCAGTCTTTACAGCAGTCTGCTGCTTACTTATGCAGGTGAGGGCAATACTCCATACATAATTTATTTAATTTTATAAGTATAAAATTATTATTATTAATTATTATTATTATATTATTATTATTATTATTTTATGGTGTTTGCAGGAGACTCCTTTGGGAGGAATGGCGGGATAATAAATCGTAACCTTTGCTGTATTGTTATACAATATATTTCAGTCTTCCAACGTGTGCAGATTTGGCCAATAACAGGGTGTGTGTGTGTGTGTGTGGTGTGGTGTCTGCTGTCTGTCTGTCTGTCTGTCTCTCTGTGTGTGTTTTTGTGTGTGCGTATACACACACACACACACACACACACACACAGTGGTACCTCTGGATACGAACGGGATACGTTCCAGAGCCCTTTTCACATCCAGAAGCAAACACAACCTGTGTCTGCACATGTGTGGTCGCGATTCACGCTTCTGCACATGTGCGTGACGTTCATTTTTGACCGTCTGCACATGTGCGAGTGGCGACACCTGGAAGTAACACGTTCCGTACTTCGGGTCGCCGTGGAGCATAAACCCGAAAGTGCTCAACCTGAGCAACTTCAACCCGAGGTATTGACTTGTTACCTATATATATATGCTCATAAGGGAATATTTGGGCACTGTCAGAGTGAACATATGAGACACCCCTGTAGTAGCTATCTTAAATGATCTCTTGAAAGTGATTTTGTAATAATTTGCACCATTTTATACATACACTGTTTGATAACAACTTAATGTTTTTTTAAGAAAAAGTTTTAAAATGCTGAATTTTGTAACAATTCTTATATATTTCAGGGATGATTACCATTTTCTGCTAACCGTCTGGGGTGCGCACAATATGGAACAGTTGCTCTCCAGTTTCAGAGTCGTCTCAACATTTGGAATCCAGAGAGAGCTCTGTGATCTTGTCCCGGATATCTCTGTTAAATGCACAGTGTGCTAGAGCTCTCTATAAGGCTGGTTTTGTCACGGTCGCTGATGTCGCCAAAGGGAATATTGCCGAGGGTGGAAAATGCCTTCAGGGATGCAGCACCTTTCAGAAGGTTAAAAGTATTTCTAGTATGACAGAAAGCTATCCCTTTGATACAGTTTTAGCTAGTCTAAGTTTGGAAATGGATCTGATTCTCACTCTTGGATGTCCAGTTTACTAGAGTTTTAGTATGTACACTCCAATAATTTTATTTTAGCTTTCTTATGCTCCCCCAGTGCCAGTGTGATATGTCTGAATTGTATTGGTGTAAATACTATACATAAATGTTTGTCATGCTTTATCTAGGTAATATTTAGGATTCTATGTAAGACTCATAATATGGTGGTGTTTCAATCCTACTCTTAAGGAATGTTGTTCCTATGTCAGCATGCCTGTGTGCTGTCTTCCAGGTTCCCCACCTGCTTGGAGTAAGGCAAGTGGTGTCCAAGAAGAGGGCCTTTTTGGTAGCATAATTCCCTCCCCAAGGCACCTGTGTTTATTTATTTTTATTCTTCCTAGTTCTAGCTCAGCTGTTTCTGTACTTTCATTACTGTGTCACTGTTCATTTATACTTGTTAATAATTTCTCCCCTTCCTATACTGCCCTGGAAACACATATGAAGAGCAATATACATTTCCCCTAAATTATGATATATATCACCTTAGGATGTGCAGTTCTTTAAAACTGACCTCTTCTCAGTAGGAGATTTCTGCTATTTTCTTCCTCCTCCCTCATGCTCTTCTGCACCTTCTAAGGGAGCAGCATCTTAGAGAAATCCTGAAGGGAAAACTATATTCCTCCCCGTCCTTTCTTTTCTTTGGTTTTGCACCCCTCTTCTTCTTACTTAGCTTTTTCCTAGAAGTCAAGTGTCCAGCGACTGATCTCTGAATGCACATAACCTCTGATGCAAGCTAAGTTGTCACCACTGCTTCCCAACCCCTTTGTTCACTTCCTTATCGGCGTGCAGACTAATATAAAAATTGACTTTTTGTTATGGGTGCATGTGAGGTGACATGTTAAGCAGAGGCTGGATGGTCATCTGTCATTATGATTACGATATCTGTATTGTCATTGTCCCTTGCGGAACAATGAAATTGAAAAACTACATAAAACTACAGTGGTACCTCGCAAGACGAATGCCTTGCAAGACAAAAAACTCGCAAGAGGAAAGGGTTTTTGGTTTTTTGAGCTGCTACGCAAGACGATTTTCCCAATGGGCTTGCTTCGCAAGACGGAAACGTCTTGCAAGTTTGTTTCCTTTTTCTTAACACCGTTAATACAGTTGCGACTTGACTTCGAGGAGCAACTCATAGAACGCGGTGTGGTAGCCTTTTTTGAGGTTTTTCAAGACTTTGGTGATTTTTGAAGCTTTTCCAAAACTTTCCCGACACCGTGCTTCGCAAGACGGAAAAAATCGCAAGACGACAAAACTCGCGGAACGAATTAATTTCGTCTTGTGAGGCACCACTGTACATAAAACTACCACAAAACTACATAAAACTACATAAAAACTGCATAAAACTACCACAAAACTACAGAAAACATTCAAAACATTCATGGCTGCTTTAGCTGAGATTCCTGCATTTTAGGGGGTTGGACTAGAAAACCCTTGAGGCCCCTTCCAACTCTACAATTCTATGATTCTATGACAGTAAGAGTGCTATGGTAGGAATTCTTTACAAATTTTTAAAGTCTGAAGCATGATTTCCAGGTAATGTTGTCTTGTTTCTTCTGCTTCAGTCGTAGGGCAGTGGATGAAGATGAACAGGCTGTCGAGGAGCACCAAATTACACCCCTTATATGGATGTCTGGACTGAAGGGTTTAACTGAGATTGAAGCTGCTAATCTTGTTGTGGAGGAGGCTAAAACTCTCTTAAAGGAGGACTTGGCTGCTTTGGGAGTGCAGTGGAACCCCAATGCCTCTCTCTTATCAGATTCCTCTTCCACATTTTCCGTAACAGGACAAGTTGAGGAAGAGGAAAAACATAGACTGTGTGGGAAACAGATATCAAGAAATAGCCAAAGTATAATTTCATCAGACAAAAGGATCAGTTTCAACCTGATAGTGCAAAATGGGTTAGACAAAAAAACAAGAGGTCGTTAGATGCTAGTTTAGTAAATGGGAGACTTGAAGAGACTCTGGTAGATGAAACTAAGGGAGAGACAAGAAATGATGACGTATGCTGTAGTGCAAGCAAACGGCTAAATCTGAGAAAAGATGGGGAAAGTATGAGAGATATCTCTGTGAAGCAAAAGTTGGATTCCATGATAAGTACTGAACGGAGGACAAGGCCAGGCTTGAAAGCTACTTCAAAAAAACATCATGTTGCAGCTAGATTTAAGAAAAAAGCTGAAATTAATTTAAATCAAAGTAGGGAACAGAGCACAGTTGCAAAATGGAGTAGGCCTTGGAGTCAAGAATCAAGTTTCAAAATCATTTCCATCCTCCAGCGACAGCTGTGAGTCAAACCAAAAACATCACCAAACTGTAACTAAAGGATCATTAGGCTACCAGGAAGAAATTGACAAAATATCCCTACAGGCAAATGAAATATACCAAGATAGTGGGAAAACTGTGCACAAATTGCTTATAGAACCTGTACATGCCAGTGAATCCAGATATGAGTTAACACTGAATAATCACATTAAAACACCTGCTTTGAATTCAGTAGAGGGAGATGCAGCTCCTGTTAAAGATAAAATGGAAATGCAAGATGTTATGGACGATCTGGTGATATCTAATAAGAAACTGAATCTGATAAGAAATTGCAGCAAATTGGAGCTCAGTAAAAACGGTGCTAGAAGCATAATTACTGAAAAGGACAGAGGTAGAAATGTTTTTAATGAAGCAGCAAGTGGCGCTATCGCCACAACAGGAAATCAGCAAAAAGCAGAGAGTTCTCGAAAAGCAGACAAAAATGAGCCTGGAAGATTCAACCCCACCCTGGAAAATACAAGTACAGTTATGGGTAAAGTGCATAATCACCCTGATAATGTTCTGAAGCCTTCTGAATGCGTCAAAAGCTGTTCTCCTGATCTGTATTTCGTCTTCAAAGAATTTGAAGAAAGCTTCCAGTTAGATACGCAAACTGAGAGGATATTGCAACAGGAGGTGGCAGCTACAGGAGCTGATAAACAAAAAGACTTAGTAGCAGATTCAGCACTGAAAATAAAGTGTGCTAGTACTTCAGAAACTAATGCTGCATCTATAATGGATAAGCCAGCGTGCAGAAAAGCAGAACCGTTACCTGTTAAAAAAAACGATGTAGCAGGAAACACAGCTTTATTGCATTGTGAAGCAAAAGGCGCTCACAAAAAGCCTATGAAATACCCAGAAATACCGTTTTCCATTGAAAGAAACAGTTTTTCTGTTATGGACTCCCAGTTAGAAAGCTTCTTACGAGACTATCGGACTCCAAATCTGGCAGAAGAGCAGGAAAGTATTGTTCTTTCAAAGGCTTCCTTTGCTCCTAATCAGTACCCACCTGCTGTCGATGCAAATGCCAAGTGCTGTCCTTTGCCTGAAATAAATTTGAATAGCAGTGATAGTTTGTTGTTTGATGAAGACTTTAACCACATTAATGACCCTCAGGATGTTCACATTGGTGAAGCTGTTGCCATGGGAGAACTTCCACTGCAGCAAATTATCCCTGCTCCTTTTAAATCCACTTTAGAAGATGGTGAACAGAATTTGGGGTCAGGCAATGGTGTACCAACATAAACCAGCAGCGACTGACAGAGTATCATGAGGATGACTCTCTAATGTTCTCAGATGCTGATTCTTTCCACATAGCAGAAATGAGAGATGGTGAGTCCGTGCCTTGTTTTCACAGAAACGTGCTCAACAAGCTGAGAAATCTGAAAGAGGCAGATGATGATGTCAGACCTGAGATTACTGGAAAAGATGCAAATGCTAACCAAGTGGGAAAGTGTGATTTTTTGTTTGATTTAAGTCCAGGAATGAAAGAAGTCTTAGATGAATGGCCAAGCCCCACTGGAAATAAACCTGAAATGGATACAAGAAGCAATTTGAGAGTAGTGCTATCTGAGAAAAATCAGGATTCTGCCCTATCCTGTGGTCAGTTCAAATTTCGCAAAGATTTTACTAGCATGGGTGATCAGAGTAAGACCTGTGGCTCTTTACTAATCAACAGAAAAGGAAGTTCCATTTCTTGGACAGATGGGAACAAGGAACCTCTTTCTCCAGCAAAGTTCATGGAGCCTCCTTCACAGGATCAACGCTTTGTGACACATGCCGAAGCCAAAAATATGAACCCCACAGACAAAGCTCCTGGTCTTCAGCTCCTGCAGAACGCTGCACTTGATTCACACCCGCAAGCAAAACCAGAAAATGGCAGACATGCTGAGTTTCCATCCGAGGATGACTCTATTATAATTGAAGGTTTTTCACTGCAGTTATCTCAAGATCTACCATCCTGCAGTGCTGAAAATTTTGCTATAATTGATGTAGCGAATGATAAGGCTCTTTTCCAAACCTTCATTAAAGAATGGAGCACGAAAAAGAGATTTGCTGTCTCGGTGGCTTGTGAAAGAGCAAAAGGCCCCCTTTCCCACAGATCAGCTATTGGTGCCAAGTTCAAGCAAGGTGAGTTTGCCCCCTGCCCTCCTTCCATTATTTTAGAAATGTATATTCTAGACATTTTACTCTGGATTTAGTAAAGTGGCAAGTGGTCCTATATCTGAATCCGGGAAGGAAACAGAGTTTATATTCTAACATGTATACTGTGGTGCAAAGTAGGAAGAAGGCATACGCCTAGTTTTAGCAGCAAAAAGTCACTTGGAGATACCAAAGACAACAAATACGGATTCTTCACTGGTTAATGAGAAATTGCATATACAGTGGTACCTTGGGTTACATACACTTCAGGTTACATACACTTCAGGTTACAGACTCCACTAACCCAGAAATAGTACCTCGGGTTAAGAACTTGGCTTCAGGATGAGAACAGAAATTGTGCGGCGCGGCAGCAGCGGGGGGCCCCATTAGCTAAAGTGGTGCTTCAGGTTAAGAACAGTTTCAGGTTAAGTACCGACCTCCGGAATGAATTAAGTACTTAACCCGAGGTACCACTGTAATGTTTCCTCTCCACAGTTCCTTACGCCATTTAGTGACAAAGGTTCGGCTATCATGGTTCATGGATTTATAGGTTATAGAAAACACTGAGTTTGTTACACTGAAATTGAATCATACAATATATAGTCATAACTTGGTTTTCGGACAGCTTAGTTCTCGAACATTTTTGCTCCTGAACACCACAAACCTGGATATGACTGTTCCAGTTTGTGAACTATTTTTGGAAGCTGACCGTCCAATGGGGCTTCCGATTGGCTGCAGGAGCTTTGGTTTCTGAATGTTTTGGAAGTTGAATGGATTCCGTTCGACTTCCAAGGTACGATTATATGTATCTGTCATTTAACATGTGGCCCAAAGAACCATGACTGTTTCACTGACTTCAAGCTCCACTTTTCTGCTGGGAATGGCTAGCAGGGAGCTTGAAATCAGTGCCTATCAGCTGATCAGCAATGACTACAAGTCTTCCTTGACAGTGCAGCATTTGGAACACACTTCAAGGCTCCCAGTTGTCAGCCTTGTTTCCACAAGCCCTCACATGACGTCACAGAGGATGCCAGGTGGGTTTGGGAGAAACTGCCCTGCAAGCTACATTGGGACCCTAATCAGGTCTTCAGGCCAAAGGTTCCCCTACCGCTGTCATAAAGATAATTTAAAAAGCAGGAATGGAAAGTATGCTTTGCACACAATTTGCAGGAACTTCAGGGGGTCTAACAGATTTTAATTTTTGTGTGTTCATAGGGAACCAGGAAATTCAATATGAAGGTGATGGATTTCCTGTAACAGCCTGTGAAGACCTGCTGGTAGTTGGATTAGCTGTGTGTTGGGGTGGAAAGGATGCTTACTACATTTCATTGCAACAGAAATCTCAAGAACAGACTGGTAAGGAAGTGTTTTCTAAAGGAATGCACTTTAGAGAAGCCTACACGTAGCATCTTGCTGCCTTCCCAAATCCACGTTAACGAAATTATAAGTATGTTTTATCCATAAGAGTGGCAGTTATGGTTTATCTGGACAGAGAACAATCACAGAATACTGACAAAAGGTGCAGCTTTTCCGAGGGACGGCAGAGCTTGGATTGCTTGGGGGTAAAAAATCTCACATAGGATTCCAGCAGGAAAAGGTGGAACTGAGTTTGGGACGCAGCCTTGTGTAAGGTGCAAGTGGGAGCTGACGGCTGGGAGTTCAGATCCATGGGAAGAAGTAAGATACTTCTGAGAAAAGACCGAACGACACAGGTGGGAATGGTAGAGAACTGGGGAAAGATGGAAGAATAAGGCGTGAGCTTTGAAGCCTATGAATGAGGATGGTGGTGCTGTGATCTTAATGCGAATGGCAGGTGTAATGGAGGACTGGAGAATGCGAGGAAGAGCCAAGGATGATTTTTATACTGCCCTGTACAAGGAAAAAACAATGTATAGGCATACACTCTTCCCCCTCTTTCCTCCCATGGATCCTTGTCATAATACTTAAATAAGATGG